CAGATGTTGATGCGTGGCTGATTCCTGACTGGAGATAGAAGATTTAACCCTTGGTGCATGTTTTGGCTGATACCGGAGCGCCTGGAGGATTCATGAGTGCTATCATGGCGTTAAGACAATATCTAAATCTGTCATATATATTTAATTCAAGATAATCTCTTTCAACTGTATAATTCACGATCAGTAATACATATAAAAATTGACGCAGATGCACCATGCCATAATTAAAAACTCGCATAAGGTGAAATAAAAAAAGTGACAAATATACTAACATCCAATCACACCATTCTCTAAAGAAGCAAAGTGCTGTCTTCAGTGCTCGCTCAAGTCTAGTCTGATTACTTCTATTCATCATCTCCATCACAAGGTGCAAGCTCCAAGGAGTGAACAATCAAAACAAGACTGTCTTTGACCACTTTCCAATCGCAGACAGTCTAGACACCACTCCGCGATGCAGTGTCACATTATTTATATTAATATGCAGAGACGTAAAGAAAAACAAGCATTTCTGCGTTGGACATAAATGCATTCCTTTCTAAGCCTTTATCGACATAATAACTCCTGTGTGCAGAGAGGTTTAGAGCAAGGCCACACAAACGATGGCTTTATTGAACCGAGATGAAATATTGTTTATTTAAAGCTATTTTTTTGACCTAACAGCAAATACCTTCAGACCACATAATGCTCTTTTCATCTTATTAGAAAACATACTCTCTTTTGTTTTACTGTGAGCCTTGTGAACCACCATTTTACACTGGGCTGCAAGCTGATTGGCTGATGAGTCTGAAAAATATATATATAACTATGTGACTGAAGCCAAACATGTGGGTATATGAAAGCCAGCGATAGAACCAACCTGGGCTTTAGAAATGACTTTATTTCCATTTAAATACGTGGTACCCCAGCTTTAAGTAAGTAACTTGAATTCTAACCATGTTGACTATTTTTAACCCTTTAATAGTTTCCTTAACCATTTGGTGGATCATCTTTTTAGTTACTATCTAGACGCTTGGAACTGAAATCTCACTTGCTTTTAGACACTTCAATCTGAAGAGACCAATACAGAAAAATTAATGCATTAAAAATATGTATTTGATTGGCGCATTGACCTCGGCAGTGACACTTGCAGAGGGGAGATCATTAGCAGGGGGTCAAGCACTGGTGGTGGCTATAAACATGGTGTGAATGGGGTGCACGGAGCAGGAGCCAGGGCAGGAGCCAGAGCAGGAACCAGGGCGGGAGCCAAAGCAGGAACCAGGGCAGGAGCCAGAGCAGGAGCCAGGGCAGGAGACAGAGCAGGAGCCAGAGCAGGAGCCAGAGCAGGAGCCAGGGCAGGAGCCAGAGCAGGATCCAGGGCAGGAGCCAGAGCAGGATCCAGGGCAGGAGCCAGAGCAGGAGCCAGGGCAGGAGCCGGGGCAGGAGCCAGAGCTGGATCCAGGGCAGGAGCCAGAGCAGGATCCAGGGCAGGAGCCAGGGCAGGAGCCGGGGCAGGAGCCAGGGCAGGAGCCAGGGCAGGATCCAGGAGCTGGGGAGGCGGTGGGTGTTAAGAGCTTCAGGAAGCGCTGATTATCAGGAAGTGGCTGCCTTTTAAACTGCTCGCTTTGCTGTCAGTGGGTTGGCAAGAGGCTGGCCGGGCTGTGTGATTGGCTGAGGCTCGAGGCTGGCAGAGCTGTGTGATTGGCTGGCCCTGGACGGGTGAGGGCTGCGGCCAGTCTTTCAGTCTGAATTTGCGCTTCAGCTTTAGTTTAACATCAAACTGCTTTTCAAGTAAGGGCCTACAAATAAAAAAACTAGGGGTTCCAACATCTTAGAAAATAAAAAAGATAACAAATGGATTTCTTTCTTTAAGGAGCAAACAAAGGGTTAAAGAAGACATCACATACTCTTTGCAACAGCCTGTAGCATGTGCAAAGAGACAGTCCCAGCAAGTCCATACACATCATTTGTAACAGCACATCAAAAGACAGTCAGGCTAGTGTCTCGTGAGCTTAGAAATTGTCAGACGTTTTTTCATTCACTCATTTCCATTTGAAATCCGCATCTCTGTGCAGCGAGGCGAGGCCGGAGCAGGAGCCAAGTGCTGTGAGGGTGAGGGCGTCAGACAATGGCACCGCTGGCACTCGTTCAGAATGCACAATCCCCATTCCCTCAGAAGGCAAAGCTAACGGCTAACAGCTATCCCCAGCTAATTAGCACACGCTGCTTTGAGGGACGGGGATTTAGAACTTAGCAAGTCGATCGATATGTTCTCAAGGCAAGAGTTTGAAAGTAGTGGCATTTAGTAAACAGCTCTCCAATTCCCAAAGTTTAGGCTTATAAAACACTATTATATTCCTAATCTTTTTACTTTTACACACACACACAGAGAGACCAGCGCTTACAATTTTTCTTTCTAGAATCATTGTTTTATAAAAAAATCACTTTGAAGTGATTGTTGGGCTATCAATAATGAATACACAGGCCAATGACCTATTTTCTTTTAAATTCATATTTAAAAGAAATCTAAGCAGAATATTAGATTTTTTTTTTTTTTTTACACAAAACATCATTTTATGTTAAACGCCACAAACCCAGTAGCATTTTCAGGTCAGTAAAACGAACCAAAGGAATCATTACAAAGATTTGAAAGTATACTGAGCTAAGTTTGGGTGACAAGAAATCGAGACTGGAACGCACACGGACATGGTCAAGGCTGACACACACACACAGACAAACACACACACCTGACACACACACGGACGCACGCACGCATGCACACACACACACCTGACACACACACACACACACACGGACGCATGCACGCACGCACACACACACACACACGGACGCATGCACGCACGCACACACACACACACACACACACACCCCTGACACACACAGTCTAAAATCAGATCTTCTATAGTTGCTAACCCTGTGTTACTGTACTATATTTAGCTAGTCCCAACAGAAAATAAAAAGAATCAGAAAAAAACAACTAATCGGACCACAGCATTGAGTTAGATTTATCTAACATCTGCAAATTAATTGTAAATGCATCGTTCTCATGGGCCAGCAGAATGGACAGAGAGTGGATAGAGACCTAGATCCGTGATAGAGACTGAGCAGAGACTGGAGAGAGACTGGACAGAGACTGAGCAGAGACTGAGCAGAGACTGGACAGAGACTGGACAGAGACTGGACAGAGACTGAGCAGAGACTGGACAGAGACTGGACAGAGACTGAGCAGAGACTGGGTAGAGACTGGACAGAGACTGGATAGAAACTGGACAGAGACTGGATAGAGAGTAGAGACTGAGCAGAGACTGGACAGAGACTGAGCAGGGACTGAGAAGAGACTGGATAGAGACTGGACAGAGACTGGACAGAGACTGAGCAGAGACTAGACAGAGACTGGACAGAGACTGGATAGAGAGTAGAGACTGAGCAGAGACTAGACAGAGACTGAGCAGAGACTGGATAGAGACTGGACAGAGACTGAGCAGAGACTAGACAGAGACTGGACAGAGACTGGACAGAGACTGAGCAGAGACTAGACAGAGACTGGACAGAGACTGGACAGAGACTGGACAGAGACTGAGCAGAGACTAGACAGAGACTGAGCAGAGACTGAGCAGAGACTGGATAGAGACTGGACAGAGACTGGACAGAGACTGAGCAGAGACTGGACAGAGACTGGACAGAGACTGAGCAGAGACTGGATAGAGTCTGGACAGAGACTGGACAGAGACTGAGCAGAGACTGGGTAGAGACTGGACAGAGACTGGACAGAGGACTGGAAGAGCGATAGAGATGGACAGAGACTGGACAGAGGACTGAGCATGAGACTGAGATAGAGACTGGAGCAGAGACTGGACAGAGACTGAGCAGAGACTGAGAAGAGACTGGACTAGAGACTGGACAGAGACTGGATAGGACGAAGAGACTGAGCAGAGACTGGACAGAGAGGACAGAGACTGCAGAGACAGACAGAGACTGGACAGAGACTGGCAGAGACTGAGCAGAGACTGACAGAGACGACAGAGACTGAGCAGAGACTGGACAGAGACTGGACAGAGACTGAGCAGAGACTAGACAGAGACTGGACAGAGACTGGACAGAGAGTAGAGACTGGACAGAGACTGGACAGAGACTGAGCAGAGACTGGATAGAGACTGGACAGAGACTGGACAGAGAGACTGGACAGAGACTGAGCAGAGACTGGACAGAGACTGGAAGAGACTGGACAGAGACTGGATAGAGAGTAGAGACTGAGCAGAGACTGGACAGAGACTGAGCAGGGACGAAGAGACTGGAATGGAGACTGACAGAGACTGGCAGAGACTGAGCAGAGACTAGACAGAGACTAGAGGACTGAGAGACTGGACAGAGACTGGACAGAGACTGAGCAGAGACTGAAGGACTGGACAGAGACTGGACAGAGACTGGCAGGACTGACAGAGACTGGACAGAGACTGGACAGAGACTGGACAGAGACTGAGCAGAGACTAGACAGAGACTGAGCAGAGACTGAGCAGAGACTGGATAGAGACTGGACAGAGACTGGACAGAGACTGAGCAGAGACTGGACAGAGACTGGACAGAGACTGAGCAGAGACTGGATAGAGTCTGGACAGAGACTGGACAGAGACTGGACAGAGACTGGACAGAGACTGAGCAGAGACTGGATAGAGAGTAGAGACTGAGCAGAAACTGGACAGAGACTGAACCATACTGGCCCTAGGTATTGAACCTGAGATATTGAAAGCCTCATTATTGGCAACTCTATCATTGTGCTTTCACATCTGTCACTTTGTTGTAGTCTTCCTGCTCTTCCAGAATAAGTCCTAAATGAAATATTTTATGTTTCTGGTGTAACAAAGTGAATTAAACCCATTGAATATTGGGCAATACAAAACCTAATCGTGTTTCTTTTGCGACATGTTTAAATATCAGATTCGAAAATAGAATAAAACATATTTCCTTGTATATTTGTTTGCACCATAGACTGTAAACACATGCACATGTGTTTGTTGCTCTTCTTACATACACAAGATGGCCGCCGAGCCCCCAGAGCGCGCGGGCTCTCTAGCAGTTCCACCGGCAGCACCATCACGGTCTCCTCCCAAAACGGCAAATGGCGACGGTGTCCTCCGGCAGCCGCTCTTGAAGCCGCTCCTGATGCCAAAGGGCTCCGCTTGAGTCGTGACGGGACGCAAAAGGTTACCATCAGACCCCCGAGAGGCGATCGCCCATCCGCGTCCACATCTGACGAGTTCGGATCATTTTTAATCAGTATATTTTTTCACACGGAGAAGTAGGAAGTCACGTGCGGGGGTGAGTATTCCATTGTGCTTTTTTGGGGATTTTTTCATAATTTTATTTAGTCTTTTATCAAACCTCCAGTTAATTGTTTATAATATTTTTTAAGCACAACACACGAGATAATATGACTTTCTTCCATTATAAACATCTAGACGAACTTGTTTTAGTGTAGTTCCGTGAAGCCCAGATGTGGTTGATTATTCTGTCATAAGTGGCACTTATCAACATTCTTTCACAGACACCATTGTCCACTTGAGTATACTCGAGTCATTTGAAGTTTTTGGCAGATGACATTTCCCCATGCTCTGCTTTTGTCAGCAGTCATTACAAATCAGTGTGTTTTTAAAGCAGTAAACTGGATCACTCCCTACTGCAACTTAACCCTTCAAAGCAGGGGCGGGCATTTATTTTCCCCGGGGGGCCCATGGATGGGGGGGGGGGGCCCATGGATGGGGCAAAATTTAAGTTTTGACAACACACAGTATTTACTGGTATATAGTAGTCAGATGGGTTGATGAAGCTTCATGAAGTGTTGAACCTTTCCATCCATTGGTTCGAGAAAAGGTTCATTTCTTGAAGCTTCATATGCTCACAAACCTCCTGCTGGGCAAAATCTGTATTGACATGTGAACTATTGTGAGGCTCTTGGTGCATTTGGTGCGGAGGAATGATTAGTGGTAAGGTAACAGAAACAAAAACTTAATTTGATTGTGTATGAATCATTAATTCATGTGTTTGATTATGATCAATACCAGTATTAATAACGAATTTATTGTAAATTACAATAAATGTATAATTCACTGGTATGTCTGCTCTAATACACTCCCAACGCTTCGACCCGCCACACCCATCACTAGTATATAGCAAGATTCAATTAAGAGTTTTTTCACAAAGCGGAGAGGGCGCTTTCCTAAAATTTGGGAAAATCTTCCTTTTAAGTATAAGCTATATATTCAATAAACAAAGGTAAGAAGACGGGGAAACTTGAAGATATCCAATGTTGTCAGATTCTTTGTGTCTTTTGGCTCGTCCTACATCTGTGGTGGCTATATTTTTTTACATTATGGCAGTGTCTCCTAAACAGCTTTTAGTATGAAAACAAAGTCATTCTAATTAAAGTAGATATATTAAGAAAATGAAACTCAAGGCAACTCGCATTTCTCACTTCATTTTGACCAATTATGTGATTTTGGAATATTTCCCAAGGTGTACCAGTGTACCATGGCACACTGATTAAAAAACACTGCATTATGGGAGGTAATTTATAATGTCTAGATTACGATGTAATTTCATTTACTTAGATTTAAACTAAAGCTAAAGAAGACATGTGGACAGATGTTTTATTATTAGTGGCAAACATTCATTGGGTGTTGCTTCTCATTCATTTAAATAGAATAGCAGGAAGTTTGCGGATCAGAAAAGGTTCAAGGGCCACATGAAAAGTTAATTGGGCCATATGTGGCCCCGGGGCCGCACTTTGCCCAGGTCTGCTTTAAAAAATCATGTCAAGCTTGTTGCCTGCAGACCGGTTTGGACTCAAATACTCACAATGGAGTTTTTTTTTTCCAGCATCCCTAGTAATTTGTAAACGTATTGGCTAAATACAGGGGGACCAGGCCCAGGTGCTTTCCTGCACTGATGTGTTGTTACAATAGTAAAGCCATTCAGGCCCAACATGTATATGCAACTGGAGCACCATCCAGCCTCAGCCCACTTTGTGTGAAGGTCTTCCACTTTTGAAATGTCAGAGAAAACAATATAAATCCAGATTCAGATCCAATCGTTTTGTCCAAAAGGTGTTTTTCTCGAGCTAATCTTAATGTTTTGATATTGGCAGAACATTTTATAAAAAATATTTGTGTGGTACTGAAATAGATCTTGCTTTTCCAAACACTAGTCAAGATCAATACTTTCAAAAGTGTTTCTATTGCCGCCTCTGTCCATGTCATGTATTAGTTTCACATTTTGAGTTCTATTACAAAAGTAAACAAACTTAATCACAGTATTCTAATGTTCTGAGTTTCATTTGTAGTAGTGATCCATTGTGTGTAGGCGGCAGCACCAAACCCACCGCCTGCACACAATGGCTGGATAATGGATAGCAAAACAAACCATGTCATGCCAACAGTGTCTTTCTGATCACAGAAATGACCAAACCTAAGGCGAAGCAGTGCCCGGCGTGCCACGCCCCAAACCCAATGCAGGTGAAGACGTGCACCACCTGTGCCTTCAGTCTGCCGGTCCGGGACAAGATCATCAAACTTCAGGCCAACCTCAAGTCCAAGAACTGGGCCGAGACGGTGAAGAGGAACCACAACTCCAACAGAGTGGTCAACAGTTCCCTCATCTCTGTGAGTTCACATGGTTCTATCAAGTCATAGTTCTCTAGTTCTGTTTGTGTTAGGGCTGGAAATCTCTCACAATGTGAAACAGTAAGAATAAATAACTGAATTTGCATCTGATCCTGACACGGCACATATCTGGATTTACAGACAATATCACTAAAGAAACTCCAGGATCACAGAGCGATAAAGCCGGGACTTGAACCCAAACTGAGGAGTGTGACACAGTTACTGAGCTAGAGGAGTTTACCTTAACATAGATAAAGCAAAGGAAGGTTTCTCACCCATCATCTGTACTTCTTAGCAAGTTTTCCCGACGTTTCGTCCTCAACCTGGGGACTTCTTCAGGGAATGAATTCTCGGACCGCGCGTTGGAGATTTATAACCTATGGGTGTGGTAAGCCACACCCTAATCCTGATACTAACTCGTAAACAATCTACGGTCTGCTTGATGTAGAAGGGAGCAGGTCTAACGACCCTGCTGAGGCTAACGACCCTAACTCCTTAGCATGTCACAGACCTATTGTCTGCTGGGATGCTCACGTGGAGTGCAGGTTTCACCCCTCCTAACTCATTAGCATGTCACTGACCTTGTCCCAAGTTAGGGCGTTGTTTTTAGGATGTCGTCATAGATGCAAGGCAAAACAAATCTTAACCCTCCTCCTCTGTTAAGAGAAGGTTTTTGTTTCCTCACAAAAATGGCTTCTTTCACCCCTCTCTCAAACCAATTCTTCTCCCGAGCCAGAATTTTAACCTCTGTGTCATCCACCGTGTGGTTGGAGGCCTTGAGGTGGAGATGAACAGACGGCTGTTCATCTCCACCTGTCACAGACAATAGGTCTGTGACATGCTAAGGAGTTAGGGTCGTTAGCCTCAGCAGGGTCGTTAGACCTGCTCCCTTCTACATCAAGCAGACCGTAGATTGTTTACGAGTTAGTAATCAGGATTAGGGTGTGGCTTACCACACCCATAGGTTATAAATCTCCAACGCGCGGTCCGAGAATTCATTCCCTGAAGAAGTCCCCAGGTTGAGGACGAAACGTCGGGAAAACTTGCTAAGAAGTACAGATGATGGGTGAGAAACCTTCCTTTGCTTTGACTAATCCCTGTACGACTGAGGGCTTACACAAACTTAACATAGATATAG